GCAGATCCTGATGTTGCAACTGCTGTGTTGTGGTCACTGTATATCTTTTGCATTGCTCTATTTCTAATTACTTTCTTAATCTGGGATAGACTCTGTGGTATGTAAATTTCTACGTTTCTTCTCTTAGTTGCAAGTTTTGCAGCTTCGTCTTCAACGTCATTTCTTGTTATTCCAACATGACTTGGCACCCAGTTGATAAGTACTCGACGGCCTTGACGTTTGAGTGTTTGCATTAATGATATGACGTTAGTGATCAGATGGATATTGTCATGTGTGTGTTCTTGTTGCAAGGTTCCAATGGCAGTTCTAAAATCTGTATGTATGATAACATGTCGGTTTGATATAATTTGATATTTGCAAATGATTAGATAGAGCATACAGCGCTAGATCTCCCTCCCCCTATAGTCACCGACAGGTGGATGTTGTAGAGGGCCGCAACTATTGATCAGACGTTATGCAAGACCCATACAGAGTACGCCAGACGGCCGCCATCCTGGCGCCCCTCGGCTACCGCCCCGTCACACGCCCATAAGGGCGTAAACATTGTAAATATTCGCTTCTTTCCTGCCGGATATGTCACAGCGCACGCAAGACTCGCCAACGGATTTTAAAATCTACCTAATCTTATCCAACTTAACCTAATCCAACAACACACATTAACTTCAGTCAATACATCCCATAATCTAACGATATATATATACGGTTTTGATAACGAGTCCATTATTATAATAAGGGTTCCCTAATATACTAAGTCCCCTTGCCCGAAACGCTGTGCGTATTATTGGCTTTGTGTATTGTATGTACTAGCTCTATCTAGAACTCCAACATTATATTTGTAACTCATCTTCTATGTATGTACTTTTACCTATATAAACATTATGAAATTTGAATTTTGAAAGTAAACAAGCTTTGTCGAACTGTTAGATGCAAGTCACATCGTACACAGAACGACTCACCAGATTTTGAAACCTACCTAACAATAGCAATAATATTAATAATAATAATAATAATGTTAATACTATTTTATTTACAAGAAGATACAATTGGTTGGTGAGATTACATTAGAGTGATAGTTTTACATTCTTGCAAAGCCACTAACACACACAGCGTTTCGGGCAAACCTAACTCAACTCGAGAGGGTTCCGGGAGTTCTACTGTACTGTGTACGATGTGACCATAGCTACCACCACTTTCTGTATGGCCCTTCCCTCGCAGCACAGAGACGGCCAGGCTTATCTTGAGATGATTTCGGGGCTTTAGTGTCCCCGCGGCCCGGTCCTCGACCAGACCTCCAAGCCCAGGCTTCATCAGACATTTGTGTGTTCACTTACGAAACCTGCGCATCTTTCCTCAATCATTGCGGCTTAGCTCAAGATTGACGAATACTGTTCAAATGAACAAATCCACAAGGGCCGTGACGAGGATTCGAACCTGCGTCAGGGAGCATCCCAGACATACTTTTATTGTCTGGATTTAAAATATAGACATACTGGAGGTCTTCTTCAACCCCTGCCCATCTACACCAGCTTCTCTATATATTTATATTATTCATCACTATTGACAAGCCATCCTCCATAAATGATGGGACCTGTAGCTACTACGGATGGAAGATACAAAATATGAACTGTTATACCTTAAAAAAATCCACGTTTTTACTATTGGCATTAAAAAAGGACGTCACACTACAACACGTTTGCAATAAAAATGCAAACTTATTATTCATAAACCTAACCTGTCCTAGACCTAACATACACAATCCTAGGCCCAATTTAGTACATATATGTACTATACCAGGCTTAGGAAATGTAAAGGTTGGTTATAACGTTATTTCTCTGACCCTCGACAAAATCATCACTACAAAGTATGGAAATATTTTTGGTGCAATAGTCTGTAATTTATACAGTCCATCTAGTCGCAATATGTGCGATCATTTCTTGAATGTCAGGTTGGTTTATGCCTCTATATACTGGACCAAACCTCCCCCCCCCCTACCACTAGTGTTAATGACTATTCTTATCGTGTGCAATGGTGAGTCTCCCCCTGGTAAAACCACCTTCGTCATCACGGTATCTCCTGTGCCAGGTAAGTATTTTATCGGTGTGATGACGCCATCTCTTTACCATCACTCAACACACCTCTTCCCAATCATCCACCCCATCACACCTCCCCCCCCCCACATCCTTCATCATTCTGTTCAAAGCACACCCACTTCTTTGTGAGCAGATGTCTGCCTCCAGGCAAGACCACGCTCCCTTTACCCCTTGGCCAACCGTAGGTTTCACTCGACCTAGGCCCTTAGGCCTACAACCAGTTACCAAGCATGGCTTGTAGGTATCCCCCAGAAATAGGGGTAGGTTCCTGGCTTCCACAGGACTATATTACCCAAAACTCCTCCCATTTTCCAGCCTCCTGGTACAGTGGTCCTTATAGAAATACTCAAAGCCTGTTCCCATGACCGATGTTGAGGCTATCTGGGTTCCTCGTCTTCCCAGAGCATTAATGTCGTGACAACACACAACAACACGTGTTGTTACAATAAGGTTAATACATCAGATATCCAATAAGTAAGTAATTATCAAGAGAAGGCACCAAACCGGGAAGGCTATGTATCACCATCAAATGTGCGGAATAATCAGAGGGCGCTAAATATCACCAAGGATGCCAATACGAGAACAAAAACGCATAAGACAGATATCCAATAAGAAACAAGGCCTTGGGTCATCAATCAGAGCACAAGCTTACCTTGTTGACCTGAATGAAAGACTTCCCGGCCATGTCTTCCACCTCAACGAACCTCAACTACGGCAAAATGACAACTGTGACAAAATCATATCTGCCACCCACTTCAGGAGATTATTGACAACATTTGTTGTCCGATTGTCACATTGTTTGGTTGGGGACGTAATCGTCATAGCAGTGTTGTGGTCCACAGTCACCTGCTGGACACATATTGCTTAATGTTACTTAAAACCTCAAAGCCTGTACTCATCTAGTTGTGCTTGCGGGGGTTGAGCTCTGGCTCTTTGGCCCAGCCTCTCAACTGTCAATCAACCGTTGTACAGATTCTTGAGTCTACTGGGCTCTATCATATCTACATTTGAAACTGTGTTTGTGGTCAGCCTTCACCATGTCACTACTTAATGCATTCCATTTGTTAACTACTCTGACACTGAACAAATTCTTTCTATTGTATCTGTGGCTCATTTGGGTACTAAGTTTCTACTTGTACCCGTGCTAAAGAGTTTGTCTTTGTCCACCCTGTCAATTCCCCTGAGAATTTTGTAGGTGGTTATCATGTCTCCCCTTGCTCTTCTGTTTTCCCGGGACGTGAGGTTTAGCTCCTTTAGTCTTTCCTCGTAGTTCATACCTCTCAGTTCTGGGACTAATCTGGTGGCATACTTCTGAATCTTCTCATTGTCTTGTATGGCAAGACACTAGGCATGGACTCTAGGCTGGTGCTGCATATTCCCAGATTGGTCTGACATAAGTGGTATACAGGGTCCTGAACCATTACTAACACAAGTTTCTAAAGGCAGTTCTTATGCTGGCCAATCTACCTTATGCCGCTGATGATATCCTTTTGATGTGGGCTTCTGGGAACATGTTCAGTGTGATATCAACCCCCAGATCTCGATCTCTCTGTCTCTATTTGACTCTTGCAAGATTTCACCTCCCAGCTGGTACCTTATGTTCAGCCATTTGCTTCCTTCGCCTAGTTTTATTACTTTACACTTTCCTAAGTTGAACTTTAGTAACCATTTTCTAGACTATTCCTCCAGTTTGTCCAAGTCGTCCTGTCGTCTCTGACTATCTTCATCTGTCTCCCTTCTCACAGTTACTCTCTCTTTCCAGTTGCTTAGATACTGTTGTGGTAATGTGTTATCTATACCTTGTAATGACACGCTAAATTGATCATTCTATTAACTTCGTCACCAGCTGAAGTTAACAGGCCACATCGACCCCTAAATGTTCATGAAGGCATACATGCCTGTTTTGGTCCCCTCGCTATTGACTGTTGCCGCCGGAGGCTGCTAGTTTATTGTGCCCCCCATACTCATCCAGGGAGCGGTAGCGCAAAAAAGGATTACAGAGAGCACAAAAGGTCTTTATCTGACCTCAACAGAGATTATTACATTAACAATTACATTTGTCCTGCACATTTTGTAATTTAATGTCCGGTAGTTAGAGATTTGTTTCATTTGAATAGCTATGTATTTACAATTAGTAGAGCAAAAACCATGAAGTATCTGCCATATACTGTACTGTATAATATAGATTACCGAGGCGTCAATGTAATCGCCTGGTCGGATATCAAAATCAATAAAAGAATACTGATAAGAGATTAGACTCCGTGTGTGACTTCACTATGTGATTGCTTATGGTGGTTATTAATAAACTTTTAATTTGCAAATTATAAAAAAAAATCAGGTACTTATGGGTCACAATTTGCCTCACACCGGATAAGACGATCTGCATCCAGCCAGACTTAGACGTTTGGGCACGTTTTCTGTCATCTGATGCCTCTGTTCACTTACAAGTCGCACATCTGTGCCAGGTGAGTACGATGGGCTCACAATAGCCTGTGCTGCTTGGAACTTTTCGTTCAGAGTTCCAAGTCACAGTTTCGTATCATCCTTTGCAGACGACACAAAAATCAGCATGAAAATTGCCTCCGCTAAAGACATTGGAAAACTACAAACAGGTATTGATAAAAGTTTTCAACTGGGAAGTAGAAAATAACATGATGTTTAACAGCGATCAATTCCAGGTATTCAAGTACGGTAAAAAAGAGGACGTTAAACATAATACAGGGTACAAAACACAACCAAATCTGCTCATAGTACGAAAGTAGCATGTAAAGGATTTGGAAACAATGATGTCTGACGACCTAACGTTTAGGGAGCATAACCAAGCAAATATTGCGTCAGCCAGAAAAATGATAGGATGGACTACGAGAACGTTCAAATCCATGGGTCCCATGGTTCAAAGATGGTACTCACAGTATACGGGATGAGTCTGCCGCCTAATGGTGCAGCAGAGTAGGAGGAGGCCATGCGCGCAGCCTGGTGGACGGCGGGTTCCGTGCGAGACACCCCCGGGTACCCTGCCGCTGGCTGCTGGCCTCCTACTCCAGCCTGCGAGTAAGGTACTGACCCAGCACCTGGGTATGGGCTTCCTCCAGCACCTGGGTATGGGCTTCCCCCAGCACCTGGGTATGGGCTTCCCCCAGCACCTGGGTATGGGCTTCCCCCAGCACCTGGGTATGGGCTTCCTCCAGGCGCTGGTGGGTATGAAGATGCTCCGGGCGCAGGCGGGTATGGAGATGCTCCGGGCGCAGGTGGGTATGCTCCAGGCGCAGGTGGATATGGAGATCCTCCGGGCGCAGGCGGGTATGGAGATGCTCCGGGCGCAGGTGGGTATGCTCCAGGCGCAGGTGGGTATGGAGATGCTCCGGGCGCAGGCGGGTATGGGGAAGCACCAGGTGCAGGTGGGTATGGGGAAGCACCAGGTGCAGGTGGGTATGGGGAAGCACCAGGTGCAGGTGGGTATGGGGAAGCACCAGGTGCAGGTGGATACGGAGAAAATCCAGCTGTAGGTGGATACTGCGCCGCTCCAGGTGCAGGTGGGTAGCCAGCAGCGCCTGGGGCAGGTGGGTATGGCGAGGCTCCGGGACCCGGGGGATACATTGAATAATTTGAGCCCTGCCAAAAAAATAAAGAACCATGTTATTCAAAACGCGAATTGTCAGGCTTCCTGTCTCCGACAATGTGAAATCATTGTACAAAGCTCTACAACTCCCGCACTCAAGAATAAACTACTAATAAGAGGTGTTATATAACTACCTGTCACCAACATTTGTGAAGTTTTGGCAAGAGGCTACCAGCCAAACTAAAATTCGAGTATACCCACATTGTTAAAATCCAAAATAAAGAAGTCACATGAAAATTCAATAAATGGGAAACATCAGGCGTAATGATAAATGCCTTAACTGCAATACACTAGCATCGAAGTTGTTGCTCAAGCTATTTCTATAGTTTTTGCTTCTGAAAAACCTTCATTAATTAACACTCATTTCTGGTGGGCACAATTGTTATTTATATTCCCTTACTACACACTCACCTGGCCGAAGCCAGCGGCGGGAGGACCGCCAGGATAACTCATCTGAAAATGGACAAAAATGGGCATTATTAGTGTCTTATATACAATAATTGTATATATCTAGATAATAGATTATCTGTCCATGGTTGGAGGCCAGACGCTTCGGCTAGCCTCTTAAACTTTACAGGGTGACTGGTGTTGTGAAGAGAAGGGCTATCACTAGTAGGTCGCCCTCGCCCTCCTCCCCTACAAGAAGACTGTAGATATGAAATATTCGGTGTAGAATCTATAGTTTTTATAATTTCTTCATAATCTTACAGATATTGGCATACAAAACCCCAGGTTCTGACGGTAAATGTGCATTTTGTAAGCTAAAACTTTAATGACACATCCTTTAGGAGGAATCGCGCCATTCGCTGTTGAGAACTCCCTATGAACGCCTCGTAGCTAATGCAGCTTTAAAAAGAATCAGCCAGTATGCTGAAACCCAACTGTTTAGGCTTGGGAAACCTAAGCGGAGAAGCACGAGCATGTTGTCAATTTAAATGAACATAGTTTCTGCTTGAGCTACAGGGAATTTTATAAATGCTCTCACGCTAGTCAGCGGTGATGTTGTATCTGATCTTATCAGTGTCATTGCTCTCACACAGCTTGGACACTGCTGAATAGTCCTGGACCAAGTTCATGACTAAAGTGTGTATAATGTATGATACATATATATATCATGGATGGTATATATATATATATCAATTAACGATTAGGATAATGTTGATCCACACAATTTCTTCAAAAGGTCTGATATAACACAAACAAGGAGCAACGGTTTCAAGCTCACACTGTAGGACTGAGAACAGGAGATGCTTTTTCAGTCACAGTTATAAACCCATGGAACCGCCTACCCGCCGAAGCCGTAAATGCCACAACTGTTAAACTTCACAATCCAGCTTGAAATCAATCAGGACAAATGGAGGAATCTTTGACAAGCCGTTGGCTTCCTGTCATTGTCGAGAGCACTAGAGTGTTATTGGCCCTCAGGTAAATTAATGCAAAAGCTATATATGTATATACCGTATATATATATGTATTATACACACATCCTTTAGGCTGGCATTGAGGTCCCCTTATTGACGCTGCTAAGGATGCACCCCACAACAGTTTACTAACTCACGGGTATCTGTTTACTGCTAGGTGAACAGAGACATTGAGTTAAAGGAAACGTCCCAAACAACTTGTGTGCCATCCGGGTTTCGAACCCGGGACCCCGTATTGAGAGTGGCTGACGGTGCCAAATGTACTACACTACTCCCCAAGTCACTTACCACTGTATGAGGACCTTTATATCCTCTACGTTAACCACAAGTCCTCCACCTCACCCGGACTCGCAATATACCTTTGGTTTCTCAATAACTTTAATAGATATTTGTAAATAATTTCCAGAGAACTATAACTTGCTGATAATGGCTTCACAGACCAACTCGCGATAAACAAACCAATATCACACTAATGACGCACACTTATAAATAACTAATATACTTTCACTGGCTTCCTATAATGATTGACTGGGTACGGGGAGGTAGTATACGCGTGTTGGTTGCTGGAGAAACTAGAGGGAGGGTAAATAAGAGTGAAGGAACACACTAGTGACCGCTCCACGCCTTCACTAGTCACTGCTACACTCTCTCACCTGTACGACACTTCCCTCCCTCTCCCGGCATCGTCTCTCAACACCATGTACTCTCATGTACTCTATACACATAAATATATATATACATCCTTCTGTGGATTTAAATATGGAAACTGTGAATTTTGAGTGTATGGAGTCTAAAAGATTGGTAATACTGTGTCATATATTATGACTGCGGCGGCATCATTCGTCCGCCAAGGAGGCGCTCTCCAAAATAGTTACAACACCTGTGACGTATTGCTGCTATATTTCCTCAAGCATAAGGGCCAAATTAGATATTTTCCACGTTATCAATAGCCTTTATAGACAAAAGTCGTTTCTTGCTTATAAGGTACCTCTCTGCTTGACGCCAGTGGCTAGTTATCCTTGATAAGGTGAGATATAGCTGCCATCTGTAGTCAGCCCTAGTAGTAGTAAGTGCTCACAATGGTCAACATCAATGAGTTAGATATTTGACGTATTTGAATTTATATAAATATTTGTAAACTTGAATGCAACCAACAATTAATGAGGAATTGAACCCCCATGATATCCTCATAATCTGTATGGTACAACATATTAGCAACACATGGTAGCAGACTGGCAGTAGGGGTACTCACTTAGTTGTGCTTGCAGGAGTTGAGCTCTGTCTCTTTGGTTCCACCTCTCAACTGTCAGTCAATTGATGTACAGATTCCTGAGCCTACTGGGTTCTATCATATCTACATTTGAAACTGTATGTAGTCAGCCTCCACCACATCACTGCCTAATGAATTCCATCTGTTAAATACTCTGACACTGAAAAAGTTCTTTCTGACGTCTCTGTGACTCATTTGGGTACTAAGTTTCCACCTGTGTCCCCTTGTTCGCGCACCACCCGTGTTAAACAGTTTATCTTTACCTACTCTGTCAATTACTAAGAATTGTGTAGGTAGTGATGATGTCTCCCCGAGCTCTCCTGTCTTTCAGCGACGTGAGTTGCATTTCACGCAGCATTTCCTCGTAACTCGTGCCTCTTAGTTCTGGGACTAGCCTTGTGGCATACCTCTGAACTTTTTCTAGCTTCGTCTTGTGCTTGTTAAGTTATGGACTCCATGTTGGGGCCGCATACTCCAGGATTGGTCTTACATATGTGGTATATTATTCTTTTGATGTGGGCTTCAGGAGACAGGTTTGGCATGATAGCAACTCCTAGATATTTCTCTCTGTCCGTTTCATGAAGGACTTCATTTCCTATTCGGTATCCTGTGTCTGGTTTCCTGTTTACACCTAGTTTCATTACCTTACATGTACTTGGGTTGAACTTTAGTAGCCATTTGTTGGACCATTCATTCAGTTTGTCTAGGTCATCTTGTAGCCTCAAGGTTAGGCTACGAGGACAGGAGTATGCTGCAGGGCAGACACAACAACGGCAGAGGAAGCTGCTCGTCTCGATAATGTGATCAATGCGGCATCAGAAACCCTAATAATGGAGGACTTAAACCACAAAACAATAGATTGAGTAAATCTAACGTCACGAGCAAAAGAGCAAAAGAAAAATTTCTTGACCTGGTACAAGACTTTTCTCACGCAGAATATAGTAGAGCCCACTCGAGGTAACAGCATTAATAAATTCTAGATCATGTGCTAACATCAGAAGAGATCGATCAAGTTCAGGTAGGGGAAAAGCTCACGCCTTCGTGTAATCACAATATTTTAAGATGGCTTACAATTGTAGAATCCCACATAATAGTCCAGGATGATGACGTTCCAGATAACCTTTAAAAATAGATTCTGCCTTACAAACCTGCTCACATTTTTGGAAACAGTAATCAGCTATTTAGACAAAGGACTTCGAGCAGATGTAGTATAAAGAGATCTCGCTAAAGCTTTTGATAAAGTATCACATGAAAGACTGGGAAGGAACGTACAGGCACATGGAATACATGGTAGAATACAGGAATGGATAAAGCAACATTTAAAGCACAAAAACAAAGGGTCGTCTTCAATGGAAATTATGAATATGGCTGTAGAAAAGCGGTGAATGGAGTACAGCAAGGGTCCATTTTGGGGCCAACCTTTTTCACACGAAAAGATGCGTGAATTTAGAGACAGCTCTAAGTGTTCATGAAATGTGTAGATGTTTCATTCAAACTTACCTACTACCAGAAATTTTATCCAAATATCTCCACTTTGTTAAGTGTAGGTAGTAAAATTTTAAATGTTGGTGACTGTAACCTATCCACGGCTGGCGACTGGATGAGGGACAGTCTGCAGGATAAATATATCAAATGTGACACTAGCTCTCCATATAAGTAAGTTGTTTAGCTTTGAGACTGTGCTTGTGGTCGATCTCAAACCCAGTAATTGTTGAGTTACCACTATAAAATACCACTACCATTAGTGTTATTATATATAGTACCACTATATATTAAATTTTGTAACTTATCAAGACCGTAACTGGCTCCTGACAGGGGCCTGACAGCTGAGTGGACAGCGCTCGGGATTCGTAGTCCTGAGGTTCCGGGTTCGATGCCCAATGAAGGCGGAAACAAATGGGCAGGGTATATTTCACCCTGATGCCCTGTTCACCTAGCAGTAAATATGTACCTGGGAGTTACACAGCTGCTACGGGCTGCTTCCTGGGGATGTATAGCAAAAAGGAGGCCTAGTTGAGGACCGGGCCGCGGGGACGTTAAGCCCCGAGATCATTTCAAGATATGCGCAGCTAATTCAATTTTGGGATTCAGTCCCCGAGTCCATTATGTGCCACTGTAACCCTTCCCACTATCGTGTACAGGATGAGTATGGGGTCCACTACCACCCACAGGATGGGTATGGGGTCCACTACCACCCACAGGATGGGTATGGGGTCCACTACCACCCACAGGATGGGTATGGGGTCCACTACCACCCACAGGATGGGTATGGGGTCCACTACCACCCACAGGATGGTTATGGGGTCCAATAACACCCACACGATGAGTATGGGGTCCACTACCACCCACAGGATGGGTATGGGGTCCACTACCAACCACAGGATGGGTATGGGGTCCACTGCCACCCACAGGATGGTTATGGGGTCCAATAACACCCACACGATGAGTATGGGGTCCACTACCACCCACAGGATGGGTATGGGGTCCACTACAACCCACAGGATGGGTATGGGGTCCACTGCCACCCACAGGATGGGTATGGGGTCCACTACCACCCACAGGATGGGTATGGGGTCCACTACCACCCACAGGATGGGTATGGGGTCCACTACCACCCACAGGATGGGTATGGGGTCCACTACCACCCACAGGATGGGTATGGGGTCCACTACCACCCACAGGATGGGTATGGGGTCCACTACCACCCACAGGATGGGTATGGGGTCCACTACCACCCACAGGATGGGTATGGGGTCCACTACCACCCACAGGATGGGTATGGGGTCCACTACCACCCACAGGATGGGTATGGGGTCCACTACCACCCACAGGATGGGTATGGGGTCCACTACCACCCACAGGATGGGTATGGGGTCCACTACCACCCACAGGATGGGTATGGGGTCCACTACCACTCACAGGATGGTTATGGGGTCCACTACCACCCACAGGATGGGTATGGGATCCACTACCACCCACAGGATGGGTATGGGGTTCACTACCACCCACAGGATGGGTATGGGGTCCACTACCACCCACAGGATGGGTATGGGGTCCACTACCACCCACAGGATGGGTATGGGGTCCACTACCACCCACAGGGTGGGTATGGGGTCCACTACCACCCACAAGATGGGTATGGGGTCCACTACCACCCACAGGATGGGTATGGGGTCCACTACCACCCACAGGATGGGTATGGGGTCCACTACCACCCACAGGATGGGTATGGGGTCCACTACCACTCACAGGATGGGTATGGGGTCCAATAACACCCACAGGTATTTGCTTTGATGTAAATTTAGTTAAATATATTATATAGTTTGATGTAATGTTTCGTCTATTCAATGGTTATTAACATTGATAATTATATATACATATCTGACAATGTTAATATAAGTTATATAAAAAAAGCTTAATTTGATAAGAACGAAAATGAATATAGACATTTAACATCGAAAACAAAAGCATAGCGCTTAGGTGATACATTTAATAATAGTTAATAATGAACGGTAGGCATTAATTCCTGAATATTATTATATATAAAGCATAATATAGTATTAACATTATTTATGTAGGTTGAGATAGGTGGGATTAAGGGTTAGAAAGTGTAGTATATTTAATAAGAAAGATGTGGAGGAAGGAGGTGGCCAGCACCGGGACCTTTCCCGAGCGTCTGGTGGCGTGGACGGCAGCCTCCCGCCATGAAGGTATATTTTCTACACTTTTCCCCACTCTACGCGGCCTGGCTGGCTCAAGTGTTGGCCTAGTGAGAGGGAGTGTACTGTAGGTGTGGTGGTGGGCGTGTGGGTGGTGTATGAGGCGTGAGGGCGGGCTAAGAGGGTGGAAATGGGCGGTGTTTACACGGTGTGAGGGAGGCCGCGTGTTGGGCTGGCTGTGAGCCTCCATGTTCCCTCACACCTGACTGTTACCCCTGGGGACCCGTCCTCTATGGGGTGCTGGCGTGGTTAACACGTTTACTGGCATCATTATTTTAGTAGCATTGTTTTTGTTGATAATTGTGTCAATATAATGTCGCTCCCAAATGGCTGTGTGGGCCGAGGTGCTCCTCGTGCTGGGTGGCTCTCGTGGTGGAGGCTGGATGCTTCTCTGGACTAAATGTGTTGTTTAGCCAAGTCATTTGTACCCAAGTCATTAGTCATATAATGTATTCATGAATGTTCACTACCCATCCACCCTCTTTGGGCTCCTATTCAATGATAAGTGAAAAGTTTTCTTCTCATTTGCCGTTTGCTAAGCTTTTTATTTAGGTTTGGAACATTGATTTTTAGTCATCAAAATGTTTTGAAGTAGACTAAAACGTGGTTTTAATAAAAATAATTTTTATGTAAAAAATTAATTTTTGTTTGCAAATCGGTGTTCCAAACCTATAGTGTACAGCAGTGTATTGGGACACCAAAATATGAAAGACGTTTCAAAACCCAAATTGATGAGAGCATTTGTGATGAACATGAAGTGTTTTGTTGAATGGTTGATTTGGGTTCTTTTGTTTCAGTGATTCCCAAATAATTTATGAATCATTCATCTTCCGCACCTGAAATTGGTTATCCCCCTTTTTTTTTATACTACTTCACTTCAGTTTTGAACATTGTCATGAAATTGATGTATGAAGCATGTAAACAGTTTTGCAACCCGAAAAAAATAATTTTTAACTTATTCATTGTCTACAATAAAAGATGTTTGCTGGAATGGGTGTCCGTGGATGATTTGTTAGTTTATTATAGTGTTGACCAATTACACCACAAAAAGGCAGCTGCGAGGCCTTGTCCATGGCCTCACACCAGTGTTTCACCTTGTGGTATATAAACTCCATCTTCACATGCTGATTAATGACCTATCATTAATCATTGTGGTGGTGGATACATTATTAAATATTATGGGATGTCTTGAATATTCCTTTTAGTTAATACTTTGGTTAATTATATGCTTTTATTATTTGTGTATTGAGAAGCCTGAAAGCCAAGTTGTGTAGGTCATTGATCTGTAATGTTTTTACAATACACAAATAACCCAAACTTTGACATTAAGAATGGATAATGCTTCTGTTTAAACTTTGAGTAACTCGTATAAAGGAGTTATATACTGTAAGTACTAATTTTTTAAATTTGTGATTTTAAACATAGATCTAAACATTCATTTTATTTTGTAAGTACAGAAATAGATTGTGTATTGAAGGATTCCCATGTGGTGTTAAACTGATACTGTACTCGGCAGACAAACTAGTTAATATATTGTACTGTATCAGTCTGGAACACTTCATCTGGTGTTTATCCAAAATTTTAAAGCTTGAGGTACCCATAGGAGCCAACAACTTATTGTAGTACATTAGAGAAGAGGAGGGGCTGACCATAAAGTTATGTTTAAATAATGGGAAAATAAATTGGAGAGGAAGCGTAAGAGGTGGAATTCAAAGCAAGGGCATGTTCAGATGCTATGGAACAGTTCATTCCACTGATGGAAAATTGAGACCAAATGTGGTATAATAGGTACTGTATATAGTGGTTGGTGCTTCTATTTTAGCGTCTTTTTTTATGTAAATGGGGCTTAAAAAAGTTAATGTAGAAGCAATCATTTAATACTTTAATTTTTAATGATCAAGCCTTATCTGTTAACAGGTTAACAAATAATAAATATTAAATTGAGCATGTGCCATACTGTATACAATGAGCTAGGATACAGGGCCAAAAGGACTAAGTCTTGCTCCCTATGAATTCTAGACAGGTAAGCGTATATTATCTAGATCGCATACTTTTAGATAAACCACGTGAATTTTAAGTTTTTTCAGCAAAGACAACTTTCGAAAGAGTTGTCTTTGCTTTTTATACTGGTTAAATGATAAGAGATTAAGCACAAAAATAAATACATTTGTACATGATTAGAATTAGCCTATTTATCACTCGTGTTCCAATTTATTACTCCTACTTGGGGTTTTGTGGCACCCTGGTTGAGAAATGCTGGTCTTGATAATCCAGGTTTGAGCAACCAATACTGGCTCAGATAGTTTATATAAACTGGTAATTTAGATCATGTAACAGGGTAATGGGGACTTACTGTACAGTACAGTATTACTTGGCAAATAAATGTTGAATGAGGTGAGGTTTACCACTGCAGTCTCCATGGCGCAGTGGTAAAACACTCGCCCCGTGCTTCGCGAACAATTTGGCCTGGGTTTGTACCCTGGCCGGAGAGGATTGATTGGATGCTAATCCTCAACTGTAGCCTCTGTTCACCCAACAGTGAAGGGGTACCTGGTTGCTAAACAATTTGGCGAGTCGTATTCTAAGAAAATTAGGATTAAGGACCTACCTGAAACGCTATGAATGCTAGTGGCTTTGCAAGAATGTAAGAATGCCTGTACATATAAAAATAATTCAAAATTCAAAATGTTTATTCGGGTAAAAGTACGTACAGTACATAGATGTGTTGCTAACATAATGTTGGATATATAGATGGAGCTAGTACATACACTACCTAAAGCCACTAATATGCACAGCGTTTCGGGCAGCAACAATAATAAAAATAACATACAACATGCATGAAATAAATAACCATCTTGATGTTTATACAAGTGATACACCTCGGTTACATGAAGACCTGAAGAAAATTCAATATTTCTAAAAGATCATTTAAAGTGTTGGAGAATGAGTGCATTTTTCTTGCTTTCCAATTAAAAAAATAAAAGGTAGCTATACTCTTAAAATGAACACGAACAGTTTTCTGGGTGAACTATATATTTTAGAATGCTAGGACTGATAAATCATAAAATGTCATCTTGGTCATCATAACTATACCAAATAATACTGTGACACCTTGTGCAGGCGATGTCACAAAATGTGGCTAAAGTATGTTGACCAGACCACACACCAGAAGGTGAAGAGACGACAACGTTTCAGTCCGTCCTGGACCATCAAGACAATAGACTTGAGAATGACCCAGGATGGACCGAAACGTCGTCGTCCCTTCACCTTCTAGTGTGTGGTCTGGTCAACACTGTGACACCTTTATTGCAGGTGTATATTGTATAGCTACTATTTGAGACTGCATTTTTACCCAATTGTGAGATTTGTGTATGGGGGGAGGGGGGGAGGACAAATAACCCAACCCATGTGAAATTAAGGGATAGTGTTTTGGTCAGTGTTGGGCAATGTTACATAACCCTTAAAGTTTGTAAACTTGATTGTTAACCTTTGCAGTTAAACGTGTCATACCCCGCTACGGGGTGTCAAAAGCTCTTTGAATTTGACGATGAGAAAAAAGTACGCATCTTCAATGAAAAGCGTATGGGCCAGGAAGTTGAAGCAGACACCCTTGGTGATGAATGGAAGGGATACGTGATGCGGATTGCTGGTGGCAATGACAAGCAAGGTTTCCCAATGAAGCAGGGTGTACTCACAAATAGTATGTATTTTCCCATTTAATATTTTAATTAGCACTAGCAGTGTTATATTTTAGAACAAATATAATTTACAGTAATATTTTATTTTCCCTCTAGGATTGAATTTATCAAATTATAAAATCTAGAAAAATAGTACTGTAACTGGAAATTAAAAAAAAAAACTGGCAAACTTGTAGACTTTCTTCGAAGTGGTTCATCCAACCAAACTCAAATCAGTGTTCATAAATGTCTTAAATATAGGTTAAAACATTAGTGTTACCCCGTCTTATTGTAATTTCTTTAAATCTACAACCCTTTCCATTAAAGGATTCTGTGGGCATTCTACTAACATTTGTATTACCTCAGTGTTGTTTTACCTGCTCTACAACTCCATATTTCATTCTTTCCCCTTTCACTGGTATCACATTTGCCATTTCTAAACGGCAATTAATTTTTGTTTACAGATCGTGTCCGGCTTTTGCTTTCCAAGGGCCATTCCTGCTACCGTCCCCGCAGAACTGGAGAGCGCAAGAGGAAGTCAGTCCGTGGTTGTATTGTGGACTCCAACTTGTCTGTGCTTGCCCTGGTTATAGTCAAGAAGGGTGATGGGGTTAGTCTTGTACCCTTTTGTTAAAGTTGCACAGCTGTATCAATTTACCACTAGCACTAAAAACTCTTGTTGTGTTTCAGGCCAGCTTACAAATTGTGCATAAAATGTCACAGGGTTTTGCCTAAATAGTGTAGAACTAGTACAGAATACCAATCTAAAGTAGTGAAGTCAGTCAGTGCTCGTTAGTTTCTAGTGGTTGATAGTATCAAGTCATGGTGCATTAAATGTGAAAACAGGTTGGTTGATGAAGTTGATTGATGGTAGAGATGCGGGACTAAAGAGCCGAAGCTCAATCCTCGCAAGGACAATTAGGCGAGTACAACAATTTTCTTGTAAATATAGTTCTTTATAACTGGCATATGGGGCATCAAGTAATTTTAGTATTCTTGGCACCCAAATGCATAAGTAGTACATTTCTATTAAACATTTTCCTCTATATAGTACAGTACTTCATAATTTGCCTTAATATTGATTCAAGAGGTTTTGGATATTGTCATCCTTACATCAAGGAGCAACTCGTTTAATATTTTCCACACATCTATAACTTATCCTTTGTGATGGTCACATTCATCATGCTGGTCTCCTAGAGACTACACCAAAATTTTAAGTTTCCCTATCTTGTCCAATACTTATTGATTTCAGCCTTACACTTTTTTTTCTATCTTAAAATTGCTTTCTTGCGTATACCGATTGTCCAAATGTGATTCTAGGAAGCTGTCAAGATCACTGCGAAATTGCCACCATCAAAATGGGACAAAATCTGGGTTATGTAGAATGGTGGCAGTTATTTACTGATATGCAGGCCAGTGTTTAATAATTTCAAATATAACAATTATTGGTGGAAATGTTTGCAATTTTCTGATAGCGAGTTGTATATTGACATTCATTGTCCCAGCTGTACCCTTCCCAAAAACTTCCCATCCCTCTTAAACAGAGGGGACCACTATTATCCATTTGTACTACCTCTATGGATAATAATGTGATAAGCCACTCCTTACTAATTTTACAAGTCTTACTAATGTCTAGTTATTTTATTGGACTAGTGAATTTATTGGTTCCCTCCTACATATACATTTTAAACCTTAGAGCATTAAATTTCATCGGCATTGTTGTTCCAAATGTCTCACAGTATTTTGTCATGTACAGTACTTATAAATTTAAGTGATTTCTTGTATACAAAAATTTTATTTTAGCTTTTTAAAGTAGAAAGTTTTTTGTTGAAGTGCTTGTGAATTTCAAATTGTACATTTGGCTTGTAGATGGATTTTTAAAGTTCAAAGTGTAAAGCCTTGAATCTAATTAACTCATGACTTTGTATCTGTAGAAATAACCCTCCGTGAATGTTTCACCTGCAGGAGATTCCTGGGCTTACTGATGGTTCCGTTCCTCGTCGTCTTGGACCAAAGCGTGCTTCGAAGATTAGGAAGTTGTTCAACTTGAGCAAGCAGGATGATGTGCGTCAGTACGTGATCAAGCGCCCACTGTCTGGTAAAGAAGGAAAGAAACCCAAAACCAAGGCTCCCAAGATTCAGAGGCTCATTACTCCAGTTGTCCTTCAGGTTAGATATAAAACTGGAATCATTTGGTAACTGCTGAATGCAATGTTCTTGCCAGTCACTTGTTTGAATACTTTGATAGTGTTAAGTGACTTTATGCTCATGAGTAGATAAGTTTTGTTACTTGAATAAATGTTTTAAGTTGATATTAGAAGGTGAGCCATGAGTGAGAAGCAATGTCTTGCAGGGTTCATGGTATACTCATTAAATTTGTGACGAGGGGGACTCGAACTCCGTGGAGATGAGCTCAGAATTAATAAAATTCAAATGATGAGTACTGTAGTTTGCTATTTCTTTAATTATGGAAATTGATGTGCAATGTATTTTGGTATTTAAAATATCTAGAAAAGGGCATTTTTTCCAACTGCAAACAGTCCTATGAATATCTTTGTAAATATATAAATTATCTTTTCAGCGTAAAAGACATAAGAAGGCCCTTAAGCGCCAGCGAGCTGTCAAGAACAAGGAAGAGAAGGCCGACTATGCAAAGCTTTTGGCTGTTCGGCAGAAGGAAGCAAAGGAGAAAAGGCAAGAGGAGATTCGCCGTCGACGTTCTTCTATGCGTGACTCAAAATCCTCTGAAAAATCTAAATAAGCCAATAAAGCCTAACATTTAGATTATTTAGATTTTTACTTGTTCCTTACTGTTTACTTGTAGTGTTATTGCTAACAAGATAGTGAGCTTTGCAACATTTTTTAGAATTTAAGATAAATTTGAATAAACCATAACTGGTTATTGTTCATATAAACATGCACTTTGATTTTTCATCCTTTTGGCCAACTATTGCCACTTACTTTCCTATTGTATTAATTTAAATTCTGAAAGTTGTATATAGCCCAAACAATACATGAAAGTGACAGTTCAGTCAGTCCTGAAGCCTTAATTGTCAACCTGTTCTCACACCGGGCTGTTTAAAGCGGTGGCTGTCCTCCCCAGACACATTCATCAATTTTAACATACTGTGTATTAAAAATTGATTTCTCATATAAATTAATATTCTTGTACATAAAAGTTGTGTAGGTTAGGTGTTTAGGATCTGTTGGTAATTATAAGTTTGTGGGTGAAGCATTTATAGAATTGTGGTTCGAACCGAGGACAGGAGTGAAGCATTTGTTCCGGATGTGTTTAGATATCAGTTGAGGGGTGTAAATCACTTTTCATTCATAAACTGGGTTTGGAGGAAAGATTAAAAAGCTTGGATCTTTGTGAGAACGGGTGGTTGTAGTAATGCTAGGACTTTAAGGTCTAAAACTTTTTTTCATGTGGGTATTTGGTTGTTTTCAGCCAAACTTTTTTTTTTTTTTTTTTTTTTTACACATTTCCTGTACAAGGTTTTGTATACGTAGATTCTGCAGTGTAATTGCTATAAGGACTATCACTTGCATACTTCATTTAGTTTGTGATGCTTGTAATTTGGTGCACATCATGCACGAGTTGAACTTAATTTTGGTCACCGATTTAGGGAGGATGACCAGAAATGAAATTTAACAAACGAAATTGCAAAAATTGCTCGACATTTTCTGAAGTCCAGGAAATTTTGTATACAAAATATTAAATATTTATTTATTATACAGAAGTTCACAACTTTACAATCTCTTAATAATTTACTGTATTGTAGTCTTGATTAGGAAGGTGAGCCTTACCAAAGATATCCTATGTAATGGACAACCTTTTGTACCGCCTGTACATAAAGTACTTTCATACGTCTTGCCCTGTACTGTTGTAATGCAAATCCATGACAAACTAATTTCAGGTTATCTTGGCAAACATTTGCCAAGTAATGTGTAGTCTTGTCATTGTTTATTTCATGTTTTAGAAACTTTAATTCACCTCTAATGTGATTGATAACTCCAATTCTTCCTTTTCAAATTTTAATTCAATGTAAACATTTTTGCCTAAACTTCTGGAATCGCCGATCCTGGGATGTTTTCATTTGTTTGAGTAATATTTACCCGGCAGTATCTTACTCGCTCTTCTTGCCAGCTGCCCTCTTCTTGTACTCCCCCTCTACAGTCCTGGCAAACTTCCACAGATAAAATGATGTGATAACACGAATGATACCCGACAAAAACACCTGAAAAATTCACTTGTTAGCTTTGGTACCCTTATAAGTTCATGACAAATTATGTAAATAAGGGGATGAACACAGTTTGCTAACTTGTGCCTCAGAATGAACAAGAGACTGGCAGAAGCTAAATCATCATGTTAAGCTTTCACTTTTAAAGAAAGTGTTTCAATCAATGCTTGATAAATTTTTGTTTGCACTTATGGCCCTGGGCTAGGTACTGAAACAGGTTGGGTAAGAGTTGGCTATTCATAAATTCTTTGCTGTTGTGCACAATCATTTAAATACTTATTACATTGTATTTAGAGAATTCATCTGTGTTCATTGACATGCCAATTTTATAGTTATAAACTAACAAATAGCTTAGAAAATTTAAAGTGACACATTTTAGCATCGCTGAACTTGCTATATTCATGGTTGGGAACATGCAGAGGAGCGCAATCAATTATAAACTTGTGTTTGCACTTATTTGCAAACATGCCGACACCTAATTTTTAATTACAAGTATAACCCAACTAATAAATGATTGTAAAAAAAAAATTGGAATACAAAATATACCTCAATTATGCCACAGACCCCCCAAAAATGTATATATATAATTTTATAATTAAAAAATTTTATCTAATTTTTGAAACTATATTTTATTAGATTTTCTTTGTTATAATTAAAAGGGGTCCATTGTGTTGCTACTTCTTAGGTATGGTACCTTATATATACAAAGTATTTTATCCATTAATGTATAATACATGTATGTAGTCCACATCACCTTTTAGAAGACTTATCATGGTGTCTAATGGGGACTATAGTTTAATCGACACGGCTAATTGCCACCTCACCCTTGGTGTATAGTATCTACGTATACAGTGGCACCTTCAAATTTTGGCTGTACATATAATGGATTAAAATGTTTTGCTATCACATTACCCACAGATAATGTACCAAAAATCTAGATCTAAACTGATAACTGAAAATTTTCAATCAGTGATCCAGTAGCAAAATAAGATCATTATTTAGAGGAATTTGATGAGGTCTGGACTGTCATATACTGCATAATAATTTGAAAACATTAATTTCTCTATGCTTTTTGGGGTTTTTAATATTAAATACTGTATTATTCAAATACGGAAGACAATTTAGACATTACTTGAAATAAATATATTAGATAAAACATCTCAAGTGATGAATATTTATGGATAATTACCTGAGCATAAATGCAAGATTTGAATACAACTTTCAAAAGTGCTCACCTGTGCCATGAAGGATTTAGCATCTGTGATGGGGCCCATGCCAGCACAGAGTGTAGTCAGTAAAAACCCTTCAAAACCAACAGTACTGGAGAACGATCCACTCAAGGCATCTTCCACTAACTGTTTAGCCACGTCATCAGCCTGATAAAATACAATACAGTAATTACAAATATTTAACTCATATTTATAATGTATTAGTGCACTTTCAACATGCTCTAGGTTAACTGCAACTTTTATCAGGTGTGATCCAAGATGGCATATAAAGATAGCTACGAATTATGCTATTGTGAATACTCTTCATAATCCTGCTAAGAATCTTGCATGGGACAGCTGTCATTTCTCAACATTAACAGATAAACATTTATCGAAATACATTCCTGCGTTGTGCCAGTAAATAATTTCGGCAGAAGACACTTTTACAGTACAGTATTTTTAAAGACTAAGCCACACACCAGATGCTGAGGACGTGACGATGTATCGGTCCATCCTGGACCATCATCACGTCGACATTTCATCTGGTGTGGTTTCATTTTCAAATCTTCAACCACGTTATTGTGACTCGTCATCTACAGATTATTTTTAGTCTATCATGCCACACTGCACAGACTTAACCCTATATTAGTACCCGAGTGTACTCACTCGTCAAGTACCCTTTGGGTGTTTGCTTACCCCAGCACAAAATAATTACAAAACTTTTAGTTACATAATTTAATAGATTTGTATTAAAATCTTTTAAGTCTACATTAATGTGTCATCATGATGCATGCTGCTGAAGATAGCAACTTTAATTTTGATTGTTGGATGGTACTAATGTTGAGTTATGGAAGTTTAGTTCATTTATTATGCACCCAATACCCATACTGTGGGCAGTAGTGGTTACAGAGGCACATCATGAGCTCTGGAACTGAACCCCAAAATTCATTTAACTATGTTTATATTATTTCCCAACATTCATAAAACAAATGACTTTTCTATTTAAAAAATAACCAATATTCCTCATTTGTCATCCAAACTTCCAAAAACTATATAATTATGGTCTTCAGTTATACTGCCATCAGCTTTATCATATTTATTACTTCTCATGGAAGACGATGGATAAACAGTAATGTTCTTTTCCCTATAATTACCTAAGTGTAGTTATAGGATGAGAGCTACGCTCGTGGTGTCCCGTCTTCCCAGCACTCTGTCATATAATGCTTTGAAATTACTGACAGTTTTGGCCTCCACCACCTTCTCACCTAACTTGTTCCAACCGTCTACTCCACTGTTTACAAAAGTGAATTTTCTTATATTTCTCTGGCAGCTTTGTTTCGTTAGTTTAAATCTATGACCTCTTGTTCTTGAAGTTCCAGGTCTTTGGAATTCTTCCCTATCAATTTTATCGATTCCTGTTACTATTTTGTACGTAGTGATCATATCCCCTCTTTTTCTTCTATCTTCTACCTTTTGCATATTTAATGCCTCTAACCCTCTCCTCATAGCTCTTGTTCTTCAGTTCTTGGAGCCACTTAGTAGCATGTCTTTGCACCTTTTCCAGTTTGATGATGTGCTTCTTAAGATATGGGCACCACACAACTGCTGCATATTCCAGTTTTGGTCTAACAAAAGTCATGAACAATTTCTTTAGTATTTCTCCATCCAAGTATTTAAAAGCAATTCTGAAGTTAGAAAGTGTAGCATAGATGTGTATTGCAGATGTGTTGCTGTTTGTGTTGGGACATGACAATGCCTTCACTGATCATACTGCCCATTATAATAGTAATCTTTCCATCCTCCACTGATGAAGTACAGTACTGTACTGGAGTTTAAACAATAGTCTCCAATTTTGTGCACATTCTATTAAGACTTCCAAACACAGACAAGAGATGTTACAATAGTGTTCGCTGTGGTAACCCTATGATACACCATCCAACTACACTCATTCATATTAGCACCTATGCTTTAAGTTTGAAGCAAATACCTGCAAGAATTGTAGAGAAAAACAAAGTGGACAAAGCCAAAGATATGTCCTTGTGGAATTATTGAATACAGGATAATATAGTACTCAAATTACCTTGAAGAGTCCAGCTGCCTCAGAAATCAGCTTTGTCTCCACGGGTTTAGTCTTATTTTCCTCCTCAAAGCCCGGTGTGTCAGTGTCCGGAGGGTAGCACACTGTGACCGTGATATTATACGGCTTCACCTGAAATCACATTATAAAAGTTCTTTCAAGCAAAGGCAGAGATCTTTATACATAGTCTGTCATAACTGAAGCCACACCCATTCACAGCTTCACATGTTAATCTTGGAAGAATTCATATGAGGTAATAGAATTTTTTTATCTTTAAAGACAATCATAGCTGGACTCAAAAAACTCAATGCATTAGCACTGTGTGAAGGAAATGCTTGTGTGAATACAGTATGTATATGAATATATTTGACATATGGGAGTTTAACATGTCTACTGTACAATAAAGGTACACTTGCTGTAAAACCTGTACATAAAAAGGAATACAAAAATCCAAGGGCAATATTAGAAGTATAGCACTATAAACATCATTACACACAGCCTTCTAATTTATACCACACTGTAATTTAAACATAAATTACAGTATTGAAAGGAAACTAGTTAGATATTCTGTGCAAGGGTTTGGATGCCGTGGTTGTTGTCCTGTGGTTTGGGTTTGGGTGGATTTTTTCACACTGTGCCATTGCATGTTACTAATTACCATAAGTGGATTTTGTGAGGAGAATCAACAAGTGCCCATGTTATAATATCTAAACTACTCCCTATTCTTATACTTTGCCAGTGATTGTCTTATCTGTCATTATAATCAAAGGTTATAGTACTGTAATAATTCCCTCACTTTTAGATGTTTGATGCAACATAGATGTCTTTGCAATGAATAAGAAGCATAAACAAACATTAATGGTGGGTGGGAGCAGTGTACTGTACATCCATTATTTTCCAAGTAGAATCCAAAAAGTTGAAAGTATTTACTTTTTTACTGTAACTCTACATTTCATAGTTCTACTAATAGGGTCAGCTCCTGCAATGGGTTTAAGATTGTGGGGATTACAATTCTAACTGGCATTACTCAAATGTGGATTACAGTCATGGGTATATAGTTTACTGTCTACTGCATACACTGCTCTTCACCAAATTCACTTGCCAATCTACCCTACTATTAAATACCTTTACCATTGCCCACTATAAAACATATTGTTAACTGAACACCACCACAACCTACCTCCATGTGAAGAGATTCAGCTAACTTGACAAGTGCACTCTTGGCAGCAGAATAAGCAGTGAACCCATACAGGCCAAGCAGACCGGCCTGGGACGAGGTGAACACCACTACTCCCTCCCGTTGTTGCTTCATGCTCCGCACCACCTCTTGTGTGATAATGAATGACCCGGTGTAATTCACATCCATCATTTGCTGTACAAACAGATACTGTACATTATTAAGGTTGTAAATTTTAACTCCCTGCACCACATTTCCTGAACCATTATATGGCAAAGCTATATAAAAGAACTACATTGAGCAGTATATGTCTAAAAACAGTTAACAAATCCTATAAAAAAAAATCATAGATAGTGATTGGAGCACAAGAGGAAATCGCAGATAGTAATTGAAACTGTGTAAAGCTTAAATCCAAATACTGTACAGTATATAAATAATATGCTATATTAGTTTTATGAATTAGGTCACAAGAGGCAGCTACCCACAAATATTGTGTAATACAGTAATAGCATGAGGCTGATCAAGAAAGGTATTCCTGGTCTATACTGGCATATCTCATCACACTAACACAGTGAAATACAGTGCGACCTCAACATTTTGCAACGCCATATAGTGTAACGAAAACCTTAGAAGGCTTTTAAGATTTTTAATATAAGAATAAAATGTGAAATCTACAAAGATGTTGTGGATTTTATATCTAGTATATACTTGCATAAATGAAATATCTAGATGACTTGACAATTAATATAATGCTCCTTCTAAAAGTCAGATTATATTCAGAACTCCATCCAGATTTATGAAACATTGCCTTGTTTTGTAATTGCACAGCTGGAAAGATTATATGCTTTTCTTAATGAATATATAATAAAAATGCAAAATTTCAAAATTTTGTGTTCTGGCTGCTTTTCAACCATCTTTGGCAGCATCTCTCAACCTTTTCATCCTTGTGAAACTCTTGAAATAATTTTTGTCTCAAGGAACCACTGCATAAAAATTATTATACTGTATAATACATAAATTATTATATAACTCTCACATAACCCTTCGACTCTGGGGAACCTTGGTTGAGAAATGCTGTTCTACGGGGATAAAGCTGAAAAAATAGGTGTAGCAGCCAAGGTTATCTTGAGGTTATCTTGAGATGATTTTGGGGCTTTAGTGTCCCCGCGGCCCGGTCTTCGACCAGGCCTCCACCCCCAGGAAGCAGCCCGTGACAGCTGACTAACACCCAGGTACCTATTTTACTGCTAGGTAACAGGGGCATAGGGTGAAAGAAACTTTGCCTATTGTTTCTCGCCGGCACCCGGGATCAAACCCGGGACCACAGGATCACAAGTCCAGTGTGCTGCCCGCTCGGCCGACCGGCTCCATAACAGCAGCTCATGCTCAAGGTGCTCAAGCAGCTCAAGGTGCTCATAACAGCAACACGAATGATCCCAGCCTCTTAACCTCAACTACTGGGGCTCTCCACTACTCTCACTTCTAAAAATTTCATGTCTGGAACTTCATAATTTTGTTGAAGATACCAAATGTCCAGAATTATGACTTTAAACTTCCAGCATAAAACTAGATTAAATGTGATGAAGCGCCTCTTTCTTGTGGGAACTTCGGTAGCTCCCCTAGATACTGAAGGGGACCCTCCAAGATAATCAGTATTGTGCTTGAACTCTCCTAAAGTACATTTAATATTAATTATTAAACTACTTATCTGCAAAAACAGTATATGGCCATTAAAGCTATTAAATACCAAGACATTACCACAGTTCAAAATTCAGTTGGAAAGAATTCAGGAGAAATGAGGGGCTTTGACAAACCTTGAGAAGCTGTGGAGAAATGTCTTCAAATTTCTGAGCCCTGGAAAACCCTGCACAGTTCACCAACATGAACACCGGTCCCAAGCTAGCTTCTGCACTCTTAACCGCTAGTGATACCTTTTCTGGGGATCCACTTAGGTCAGCTGTTGGTAAAAGGGGAACTATTATTATACATTAAGTCTTGAACAATATAAAAATAAAATTAGCCAATAATAGTCAGTCTTTCTTAAAACAGGAAACAAAAGTGCACATATTAAGCACTTATGTTTTGCAGTTCCTCTCATTCCTTGATTATCTCCTTTGGAAATTTAGAAATATAATAAAGGGTTTTTATTCTATTTTTTATTAAATATTCACCTGAAAAGAACTGGACTTTTCCCCCAGATGCAACCTTGGAAATTGTGCCAGCCACCTCATCTCGAGCCTTCTCCAAGTTGCTGACACTTCTCGCTATCAGAGTCACATTTGCACCTCTGCCAGCGACATCATGGGCAACACTCAGACCAATTCCACTTGAACCTCCAGTTATCTAATAAATTTAAGCAATGCACATCAATTTCATGTAAACACACACTACAGTATTTTAAACAGCAATAGTTTTTAAACACATGATTATCATCACTATTACTCCTTTCCCCATTTTCAGAGTCAAGAGGCATTAGTAGTTAAGAAATATATCAAATGAAAAAACCCAGATTTAAATGTAATGAAACACCTTTTTCTGGCGTCTCTCAGTGGCTCCCTGATCTAAACACTGGTAAACTGTCAAACCTACAGAACCATACCCAGCTTGAACAATTCACAAGTGCTTAGCAGAAACCAAGAGAAAATTTGCCAGAAAGTTAGAGTATCAAAAATGAACAACTGAAGCTGAAGAGACAAAGCCCGTATTACACAAACAGAAACTACGAAGTAGAGCAGGAAGCACACCGACCTGACAACCAGAAAAAACACCAAGAAAAGACCACCTTTTAGAATATATCCTGAAGACGGTATGTAAGGAAGGGGTATATAGTGTATACATTTATACCCTATATAGTGTACATTTATGTATATAGTGTCGAGAACACTAAATTAAATTTGGTGCAGATATCCCATGTGTGTTATGCCTCATGCCTGCATGCACGGAGTGACAAACATGAAATGATAGTACTATACCGTTGAATCCTTACGTTCTTTCCTGATGCATATAAATGCATTATTATTAACTACTGTATTTAAATTATTTCAAGCTTGGATAGCTTAAAAATCTTTTACATTATTTAGGTGTTTGACCCAAATGACTAAATGTAAAGGATTGATGGGCTCGGGCACCAGGACATTAGGAGGTAATGTAGGCACGTAATTAGGACAACGAGGTAATCACATCTAGAGCTGAATTGTCCTGAAGGCGACGAAATGTCGGAAACGCAAGCTGTAAGTCCTGTACTGCGCAAAGGGCTTGAGTCGGCCGAGTATCAAACTGCAGTGAACGTGTAGATGAATCTGATGACAGAGCAGCTGTCGTGGGCGTAGGACAAGCAGTGCCCTGGCAGCGACGGAGAGTCGGCAGGACAAGCTGTAGATCCAACATGATGTAATCATTGATGAGGCTGTCAGATGAGTGAGTAACGATCGTGGAGCAGCAAGCCGTAGTAGATGAAAATGCAGAGATGGACGCGATGAAAATCATAGCTGTGGCGAGGGTGTTGGCAGCGTTCCATCACAGCAAACAGTAGCAGTAGAGGTCCAGTGAGAGTCCATGTTGTAGTCCATCGTGGCTGGGTATCGTCGAAACTTCGTGAAGGTCGAAAATAGCCCTGTACAATGCTTCAATAATATGAAACATAAAGCAGGTCAAATAATGGACAATGATCTGGTATATAACATAAGCACTGTAATGTATTGTGTAATACGACTGAACCAATGTAGATTAAGCTCAATTACTATTAAGTTTTAGTCTAAGTGTTATTTTTCCCACCTGACCTTGCCCAAAATGCTGTGTGTACTAGTAGTGGCTTTAGGTATTGTATGTACTGTACTAGCTCTATCTATAAATCAATCAGAATGTTTGTAACTCTGCACCTATGTATGTACATTTCCTAAATAAAATATTATTCTTATTGTTCTTCTTCTTATTGTTATTACTGATCAATAATCCAATAAATGGCTCAGCTAGGATTATTACAAAGCCTAAGAGCCAGCAGAAGACTCTGAAAAGGCAAAGTTATGAGGCATGGAGACAGAATGTTATGAAAAATACTTTGGGAGCAGTAGAATACATTACCCAGAAAATTGAGAAAATGCAAAGTTATGAAACATGAAGATTGAGCAGGTTAGAAAAAATACTTGTTTATCAAGGCAAGTAGTGGGACAATCTATAAGCTTATGAAACAAATTTACAGAAGTAAGTTCAGGAGTCTGGTTGTTAAAGTTACTCAATGTTCTGGAAAGAGACAGTTTAGGAGCACACACACAAAAGGCAAAATAAACCAAGTTAGAAAAGCCTGTTTAGATATGACTATCCCGAGACCTTTCTCCTGTGGCCCCTTCCTCAGAGAACAGAATCAAATGCAAGACAATGGTAATTAGAATATTAATATATGGAGGTTGTTTAATACCCACATGTCCTAAACTTGAAAGGCTCTAAGTTACATGATGCAGTAAAGATATGAGGGAGCTACAATGTTATGAAGAGAGATAAAAGGTGATCCAATTCCTTCTTGCATACCATTTTTTATGTACTTTTCCCCTAATTATTATTATATTATTATTATTATTATTATTATTATACCAGTATAATCATTTTAACAGTAAAAATATATAATTGCTACAAAAGTTAGCAGAACTCACCAAAACATGTTTGCCTTTCAAATCCTTCTTTTTTCTTGTGAAAATGTTGCATAAAGCAATACCTAATGCTGTGACTAGTATGGCGTACAGCCAACTGATGCCACAGCACAAACCCATCGTGGCAACTCAGGTACCTGTGGTGACACAGTTAATCTTAACACACCTCAAAACAAAAAATACATATTATGTAATAGAGTACGTAGAACTGGGCAGTAAATACTTCACCTGCTTCTAACTGTTGTGAATGCTTTACTTAAAAAAAAAAAAATCAGTAGCCAGAACTCAAAATATTTTAAAGGTTAGAAAAAAAATCTCAAATCCACAGAAGCCTTTCAGCCTTTAAAATGGTTTTGTTTCTTAAGCAGAGTGGCTTCTCTAGGGCCACAAGACCCTATAATGGCTTCTCAATCTAAGAGAAAAATTATGAATAGTACAGTATACCATCTCATGAAAATGTGCTTTGTAGCGAGTATATTATATCAGTCAATAACATTCTCTCTACAGCTTATTACAATAGTAATTTTTTTATTATAACTGTCTTATGTATTCTGTAGTGTGGAGCAGGCACCAACTAAATGATCCAGGGTTCAATGCCTGAGCAGGATGAACATGTTTGAGCACATATTTTTTCACCTGATACCTGTTTACCCAGCAGTAAATAGGTACTCAAGTGTTAGGTAATTGTTGTGGGTTGCATCTTGGGAAAGGTCAGTTGCTTAGTACCCAAATGAGCCACAGAGACGTTAGGAAACACTTTCTCAGTGTCAGAGTAGTTAACAAATGGAATGCATTAGGCAGTGATGTGGTGAAGGGTGACTCCATACACAGTTTCAAATGTAGATATGATAAGAGCCCAGTAGGCTCAGGAATCTGTACACCAGTTGATTGACAGTTGAGAGGCAGGACCAAAGAGCCAAAGCTCAACCCCCGCAAACACAACTGGGTGAGTGTAGACCTAGGCGAGTTCCAAGTAGTTAGCCTAGGAGAGGACCACAATAACTAGAACGACAATTAGTAAAAGTGATGAATTGTCCGAATACTGAATCCATATATGGTATTAGGGTATCTAAGTCTCATATTGGGCATGAAACTCATATATTAACATGTAATAAAACACATATTGATTAATTATATACTTAAAATGATTTAGTAGTTCAAAAGGGCCCAAAGAGGTGCCGAATGTCTGTTGTGTTGTTTCAAAGCTGGAATATGCAGCAGTTGAATAGTTCCCATATCTTAAGAAGCACATAAACAAACTGGAAAAAGTGCAAAGACATGCCACTAAGTGGCTCCCAGAACTGAAGGACAAGAGCTACGAGGAGAGGGTTAGAGGCATTAAATATGCCAAAACTCGAATATAGAAGAAAAAAGAGGCGATATGATCACTACGTACCAGAATGTAATGTAAGCTAATATATGAACTGTTAATTTAGGATTGTTGCTGTACGAGGGACAAACACGCCCTCACACACAGGTACACTGACCAGTTTACAAGTAGACTATTACTGGAGCCCTGATATGCCTTCACATCTTTACAGTTATGTTGGTAAGAATCCAAGGTGTGAGTGTGTGGTGTCTGGTGGTCACGTTACCTGGGCTCGGGCTCAGGGCTCAGGGCTTGGGGCTCGGGCTCAGGGCTCAGGGCTTGGGGCTCGGGCTCAGGGCTCAGGGCTTGGGGCTCGGGCTCAGGGCTTGGGGCTCGGGCTCAGGGCTCGGGGCTCAGGGCACAAGGTTTGGGGCTCAGGGCTCAAGGCATGGGGCTCAGGGCTTGGGGCTCAGGGCTTGGGGCTCAAGGCTTGGGGCTCAGGGCACAAGGCTTGGGGCTTGGGGCTCAGGGCTCTATACACCTCTACCCACAACTCTCCCTAACTACACTAACCTAAACAAATATAAAAACATGTGTGACAACTGTAATATGATCATTCGTATATCTTATAAATACATTATTATTATATATATTATATATGATCTCTTAGTAGAGTTGGTTTCTGTCTCGACTCACAACAAGGGAGTTTGGGTTCGACTCCCGGGCGGGACACAAATGGTTGGGGGCGTTTCCTTTCACCTAATGCCTCTGTTCACCTAGTAAACAGATCCCGGGAGTTAAGTCAAGTGTTGTGTGGCACAAGCGGCTTCCTGTCCCCAACACTGTACACTGGCCGGGTGTGTTGCCAACAGTCACGTGACCTCGGAGTATGGCACACTTCTGTCCAAGTGATTATTAATATATAACTCACCCTAACTATATATATAATAACTTTATAACTAAGTTATAGCTTTTTTAATATGTGTCATTATCTGTTATTATAGAAAACAGTCATGAATATTATGTTAGTGAAGTTTATAAAAATCCATAAAAGCTCACATAACAAAGTTTTTCATATCATATACTAACAGTTACTGTACAATGTTTCATATTGCCACTTACACAAAATAAAGTAAATTAAATTTTAATAAGGTATTATAATATAAAAATAAGATATTGTGTTTAATGTGTGAGGGAAGAAATGTGAATATATTAAGGTTGTGTGACCTGGAAGACGAGAGACTTGCACGACCTCTGTGCTGTAGCTGCCCCCAACCCAAGGACAATAACAACAACAGCAGTAATAAGTACAAACTACAGCTGGTCATCGTCTTCCCTCAACCAACAACCAACAAGAAGTACCAGGAGGAAAGACCTTACCAGCACGTCACTGTCAGCTGTAAGTTACCTTCTCTGTAACGCTGACTCTTGTGGCTGTCACGTTTGTTTGTGGCGTTAGCGTGACACTTAACATTAACACTTAACATCATGGCCTGGCCTGACACTTAACATCAGGCCATTCACAGCCATTTGGACCAGATGAGTGCCGGTCAGGCCGGATGTTTTGAAAGGTAGTATCAAAGGAATAATAGAATAATTTTTAAAGGGGAAAGCGCCAAGCCATTGCGACTATATATAGCACTGGGAAGGGGTCAGGATAAGGATCTGGCATGGGTAGGGGGGGTTGGGGGGAGGAATGGTGCCCAACCACTTGCCCGTTCGGAGATTGAACACCGACCTGCATGAAGCAAGACCGTCGCTCTACCGTCCAGCCCAGGAGAGGGGCTGGACGGTAGAGGGAGTATCAAAAGAGAGGGAAGAAGAACCAGACCCCCCTTTGACCATCCCCCAACTACCACCAGTCACCATGCAAAGTTCGGTGAGGCTAGCCCCAACCCTCTGACTCCATTCTTGAACGGACATCTTTTTCATAGTACAATATAGTACAGTGCCTGAAATCCAAATACTGTACTATACTTTATTTTGTTTCTAGTTCTCATACGTGGAAACAAGAAATCTGTTAGGCTTATTGAGGTCCTACATGGTGAATTACCCATTAGTAGTAGTTTTAAGAGCTTTTATAATTTTAGATGATGTTTTAAACCCAGTATAATTTTCAACTTCTAAATTTATTTCTCTCATACAGGTTTGTTATGGAAGGGTTTGTCTTTGAGTCATCTGGTAGTCCTAGGAACAAGCCATCACGTAGATCACTGTCTCTTCAGCCAGAGTTGTCACCCTCGTCCTCTTCCCTGCACTCTGCAAGAAAGAAACTAAGAGGTAAATCACCTGGGCGTAACCTTACTGCATTTTTTACTCACAAATCTGACCGTTTTGGAAGAGCAAGCGTGGATGACTGCCGCACATCCCTTAGGAGGAGAACAGTTGGTTCAGTATCTTCCAATCTGCTCCAGCTTACATCCATCAGTGAAGTTAGTGGTTGGAATTCTTTATCTAGAAGTTTTTCAACACCTACTTACACTCATAATAATAATAAAACTCCACTTGATGAACCTGATGAGAGTGAGGAGAGTAGTGTATCAAGTGATGACAGTGATGGACATTCAAGCTTTGTGCCTGAGGAACATGAGCACCATGCACACAAGAGGCTTTTTACAGACTTCTTGAAAAATGATAACAGCTTAATGCTTCAAGCAAGTTCATCAAGAAAGAAACAGAGAATTTCTGAAAAGTCAAGCAACCAAGATATAAAGAATCCATCTCTGTTATGGAAGCTTATCAAAGCATTTAGTAAAATTGTAATGTATATGATTGTCCTTTTGTTTTCATTATTATTTTTAACTGTGGGATTATCACAATTCTTTGTTTACCAAAAAGCAAAATGTGAAGAAAAGAAGAATATGGTGCTACCTTTAGATAACTTGAAGGATCAGTTGTCCTTGTATGTTATAGGGCAAGAGATGGCTATAGGTGTGATAATTAATTCTTTGAAGAAAATTTTACCAAATAAAATTGAAAGGCCTTCCTTATTGTGGATGGTTGGCTGGACTGGAAGTGGGAAAACACACACAACCCACATTATTAAAAATATTTTGTCAGGAACATCTCAAGTCCACATTATAATACCTGATCTGCTTCCAGAAGATACAGGTAACCTTCATGGAGAGATGACAGTTCTCTTTCATAAACTTGATCCTTGTTCTCTCAACTTAGTAATTATTGATGGCTGGGATGATGAAAGTAATTTCCCAATCAAGGTATTGGAACATTTTTTTATAAATTTTGAGAATTCTAAAACTAAAAGCCAGATAGTGATAATTTTAAGCGGTACACGGGGAAGTGCAGAAATTGGTGAATATTTCTTAAAACTGCGTAACAGTGGGAAATCTAGAAAAGATTTTACTAGTGAAGATTTCATTGATGTAACTGCATCCCTTAAAGAAGTCAATTTATTAAAGAAAATCACAGAGGAACACACCCTTGTGCCTTACTTGCCTTTGGAAGTTCCCCATATTAAATTGTGTATCAAGGAAGAACTTAAAAAACTACAAAAACTGGAAATAATTATGAAAGAAGATAAACTACAAAAGATAACTCAACAAATAATTGATCAGCTCAGTTTTTTGCCTACATCATATCTACTGGTGGCAGCTAGTGGATGCAAACGTGTTCAGCCACTTCTGGCCCTGCTGCTGTCTGGACATAGATAGTGATAATAGAACCCAGTCCTATAGAATAGTTGACAAATTTATATCTGTGGCTCCATTTTGTCCCTAGTCCATCCCAGGAAATTGCCTCTGAAGAATTAGCCATAAGAGGAAAGCCTTTGGACATTGCATAAATGTGCTGTACATGCCTGTACATTTGAGATACTAGTAATGTTCTCAGGTTACCATGCCTATACTTTTATGTGGTTCTCAATTTCCCCTTCAGAGTACTGTATGAAGGGGAACAATATTCCCCCTTTTATGTAAGATCTTGTTAAATTAATACTTCATAACACAATAAATAAAAGTTGAAAAGGAATTTTTTTTAGGACTTGTACACATGAAGTTGCTAAGAATTTAACAGTAAGAAAAGATCATATATATATTTATAAATATCTCATAAGGTGTTGTAATCCAATAGTCAAAGGAATACCTAAAATGCCAGATATATATATGTGTTTTAATATGACATTCACTTTGGTGAGCAACAGTTGGATGATGTCACAACAAGCAATATCTAATAGCCTTAAAACCTTAAAAAACAGACATAATTGCTGCTGTACTTTTGGGCCATAAGAAATTTTCATTGGGTAAATTAGACATACAGTACTGTAATTTATGTTTGTCAGATGTGTAGCTGAGTTATTCTCTAGGAACTGATAAATTGGATAATCAGTGATATAAAAATGCAATTCCCAAGGATTCAAACATCTCTTTTTATTCATATTCAGTAATATATTCCATTGATGGAAATGGGTTTTGGAAACTAGTTACTGTATACGCTGGTTTTGGGAACTAGGTATACAGTGGTATTGGGAATTAGGTATTTGCTGCTTTTTATAACAAAGTATACTCTGTTTTAGGGAACTAAGTATACACTGGTTTTGGGAACTAAATAGTATATGTTACAGCTGTATTGAGGATGTAAGGCCAGGAATCAAAAGTGGGGGGGGGGGTTCCCATCCAAAATTATAACAAATAAACGAGCAATTTTAGTCTATAGAAACTTGACGAAGGAGAGCTAATAAATGTCTTCATTAGTACAGAATTGAACATAAAAATACTGGAAATTGAGAAGTAGTTTTATGCCATACACCTGCATACCCAACATTTCCATTACTGATTCAAACCAGCTAGGCCTTCTTCAAATGCTGAGGTAGTTGTAAATTTAAATTTTGTTGCAATGTACCTATCATTACACTTATTTGTTAGCTTAAAGACCTGCAGGGGAAACACTATGCATGCTAGTGGCTTTGCAAGAATGTACCGTGTAATCACCAACATGTGTACTTTCACAATTCATTGTTCCTTCATGTATATAAATAAATAAATAAATAACATAATGGTCAGTGTTACAGGCTGAATGATCAGTGTTACAGTGAGAATGATCAATGTTACAGACAGAATGATCAGTGTTACAGTGAGAATGATCAATGTTACAGACAGAATGGTCAGTGTTACAGTGAGAATGATCAATGTTACAGACAGAATGGTCAGTGTTACAGTGAGAATGATCAGTGTTACAGACAGAATGTCAGTGTTACAGGCTGAATGATCAGTGTTACAGACAGAATGGTCAGTGTTTTTACCTGAATTTACCTGAGGGCCACAAACATTAGTGGCCTCGATGAGGACAGGAAGCCAGCAGCTTGTCGAAGGTCCCCCCCCTCCCCATTTGCTTTGATATTTTCCAGTTGGACTTAAGAAGTTAACAGAGTTTTGGCATTTACGGTTTTCGCGGTTAGGCGGTTCCATGGATTTATAACAATATGGTGTGAAAAAGCATCTCCTGTTCTCAGTCCTATATTGTGGCTTGTTGAGCTTGAAACTGTTGCTCCTTGTTTGTGCTCCATCTGACCTTCTGAAGAAATTATCCGGATCAACATCCTCCAAATTGTTTAGTATTTTAATTAAAAGTTTCAATTGCGATTTGCCTTGTTATGCCTGGGTTGCAGGGTTGTTAGCCCTGTGGCCCTCAACTGTTCCTGATACGTGAGTTGCCTTAGCTCTGGGATGATTTTTGTTGTCCGGTGTTTCACTTTCTCCAGAACAGCTATGTTTTTCTAGAGATGTGGTCTCCATGCTTGGATACAGTAATCCAAATGCACCAGAGATTTAATCAGTTGAATAACTACCTTCTTTTCCTTAAAGTCAATGATACACTTGATTATTCCAAGGGTTTGGTTAGCTTTTTTGACTGCTGCTCCTACCTGCTGTGCAACTTTTAATGAGTGGTGGATATTGAGAGGTGTTGTCGAGATAATAGTCAAGTGTTACTGACAGAAAGGTCAGTGTTACATACAGATTGGCAAACTATCCACAGAATTGGCAGTGTTACACAGACAGTTTTCTGTGTAACACGTACATAGATGTCAGTGTAAGACAAACATTGTGGTAACACAGACTTTGCCAGTGGTCAGAGTAATACAGACATAATGTAAGTGTAAGATGGACACAGTAGTCAGTGTGACACAGACTCGATGGTCAGTGTGACACGGACTCGATGGTCAGTGTGACACGGACTCAGTGGTCAGTGTGACACGGACTCAGTGGTCAGTGTGACACGGACTCAGTGGTCAGTGTGACACGGATCTAGTGGTCAGTGGACAGCATCACCACTGGGAGTCGTGCGTCAAGATGAACAACAATAGCTGGTGATAACCTTGTGCAGACACACTTCATTTCCATCATGTGGAGTGTCTCCAGCCGTAGGGCCCAGCTCTTGCTCCATACACTCCTCTGACGCACTAAGCTTGCATCTCTCTTCCTATCTGCACCAATCACGACTTTTCTCTTTTCCTCTTTGAAACGTTCTGTTTCTTCATATGTTGTGAATATTATCGCGTTTCCATTTTTCGATCAACCTTTTGGTGTTCCATTGTGTTGTGTGGGGGCTGACGTTGTAGGAGGCAGGGCTGGAGGCGGTGTGAGGACCCCCACTACACTAGCGGTCAGGGAAGGACGAGCACAACCGGTTTAAAATAGACAGCATCACCGGGGTGGTTTCATCACCCTCGCTAAGCTCCTCTGAAACAACCTGTCAGATGGATGCAGATTCGAGGAGGTTAGGCTATAACACAGCAAAAAAATCTGGTTCCCCAACGGATTTTGAAAAGTACTTCGCCCAATCCAACTAAACCGAATCTAAACTTAACCTAAACCTAACCTAAATCTCCCACGTCCTAACCTTAGCAATATATTCTGTTTTGACTCAAAGCTAGTTTTGCTGAACCGCCATATGTAAAATTTGAGCAAGTCCTAATTGGATATGCTTACCCCGGCTAAAGCTTGGAAAACGACGTTTTGTATTATTATTTGCTACGTTTGTTAATGCTAACCTGAATATATTTTGCCATTATCGTGGATAATAAAATTCACTTGGACTTCACTCTCATGCTTACTCTCCTTATTATATATGGAGTTGGCCTCATCAACTGGCTGTCAGTCTCCTCATTATTCGCTAATCTTGCACCCATGTATTATCTTTCCCCTTGTTCTCCGTTCACTTCCCTAATATATCTTAACCGTCGTAGTTGTTAGCATCTTACCCTACTCATTCCCAGTGAGTAGGAGCTCTGCAACTCTCAGCCTTTTCTCTTAGAAATAGAACCCTCAGTCTGTCCTCGTAACTGGTTCTAGAACACTTCAACTTTCATATCCTCGTAGCTCGGTTCTCTATCTTGTGTGATGAGGATTTTTAGCATGACGTAGCTAGTTCTTGACACTGTACTCCCCTTCATATAGTCTAGAGCAGCTGCACAAATGCAAATGTTCCTAGACGTGTTAATAAAAAACAAATTATCTAAGTTCAAGGACCAGTTTGGAGGTTTCTCACAGTGAACGTCAAAATATTAAACTGAAAGAAAAGGTTTATTTAATTTTTTCTGAACTACACGTAATGACAATAAGGCTATGTCTATCTTGGAGGATATAAAGAAAAAAGAACAAGGTGGACAGAATGAACTGATGAAACAGTTTCAGGATTTTCATCAGCCAATAAGAAATTAAGTTGGAGGGCATGATAACTGCAGCAAAAGAGGATAAAACTGCAGGTTATCTTGAGATAATTTCGGGGCGTAGCGTCCCCGAGGCCCGGTCCTCGACCAGGCCTCCTTTTTGTTCACCCCCCCCCCCCCCAGGAATCACCCCGAAGCAACTGTCTAACTCCCAGGTACCTATTTACTGCTAGGTAACAGGGGCATTAGGGTGAAAGAATCTACCCATTTGTTTCCGCCTCTGGGGATTGAACCCGGAACCTCAAGACTACGAATCCGAAGCGCTGTCCACTCAGCTGTGAGGCAGAGTTGTTAAAAAGTATACTGAAGCTCTGTAGAGAGATGAGTGGTTTAAAGGTGTACAAGTCTTTGATGCGCCCTTATCTGGACTACGGTATCCAAGCATGGGGACCTCACTTTCAAAATGACTTGAAGAAAGTTTAAACACAGCTACAAAAATCATCCCAGAAACAAGTCAGCTCTCATACCTAACTCGTGACTAACAACACGACAGATCAGACAGGACAGGGCTGATCTCAACCTGTCCTAATAGAGCGTCGCATGTTGACGTATACTCTACCTAAGACCAAAAATTGTACTAGAAAATGCAGATGATGGGAAGCCGGTCGGCCGAGCGGACAGCACACTGTACTTGTGATCCTGTGGTCCCGGGTTCGATCCCGGGCGCCGGCGAGAAACAATGGGCAGAGTTTCTTTCACCCTATGCCCCTGTTACCTAGCAGTAAAATAGGTACCTGGGTGTTAGTCAGCTGTCACGGGCTGCTTCCTGGGGGTGGAGTAACGGGTAGCTAGGTAAAGGCTAGCGAAATTGCCATACTGTCCCGTTTTCAGTTTTAGGGTCCTCTGGTAGGTTAGGATACGGGCACTTTAATACGACAATTTCTTGACGTTGGGGTAATCTTAGGAGGACGGGCTGGATCTCATCGAGACTTGAAATATTGAACAAATGGGAAAATATTAATCCAAACCAAGGACACATGTACACAACCAAGGGATAACAGTTTCAAGCTCAACAAGTCACAATGCAGAACATAAAACAGATGTTTTTTTTTTACTCATAATACGCCCATGGAGTTGCCTGCTCGCCGAGGCCGTAAATGCTAAGTTTAAATATTCAACTGGAAAAACTCAGGATTTGTGAGAAGTTTCCTGTCCCTATTGAGGCCGCTAGAGATATAGCAGCCTCGTGTAAATTCTGGTAAATGATGTTGAATAAATGATGCTGGAGGACTGTTGAACAGTCTTCCTCTGCTATGAACAAGCTAGCGGGCTGAACTTACCACAGTGTATACCCAGTGTCTGGGTGTAGCATAGGAGCCCAGCTACAGATACCCAGTGTCTGGGTGTAGCATGGGAGCCCAGCCACAGATACCCAGTGTCTGGGTGTAGCATGGGAGCCCAGCTACAGATACCCAGTGTCTGGGTGTAGCATGGGAGCCCAGCCACAGATACCCAGTGTCTGGGTGTAGCATGGGAGCCCAGCTACAGATACCCAGTGTCTGGGTGTAGCATGGGAGCCCAGCCACAGATACCCAGTGTCTGGGTGTAGCATGGGAGCCCAGCTACAGATACCCAGTGTCTGGGTGTAGCATAGGAGCCCAGCTACAGATACCCAGTGTCTGGGTGTAGCATGGGAGCCCAGCCACAGATACCCAGTGTCTGGGTGTAGCATGGGAGCCCAGCCACAGATACCCAGTGTCTGGGTGTAGCATGGGAGCCCAGCTACAGATACCCAGTGTCTGGGTGTAGCATAGGAGCCCAGCTACAGATACCCAGTGTCTGGGTGTAGCATGGGAGCCCAGCCACAGATACCCAGTGTCTGGGTGTAGCATGGGAGCCCAGCTACAGATACCCAGTGTCTGGGTGTAGCATGGGAGCCCAGCCACAGATACCCAGTGTCTGGGTGTAGCATGGGAGCCAGTTAACAAGGAGAGAGAGAGCGTTGATGGTTCACTACTTAATATTCACACAGCAGGTCCCAGCCAAGCTCTGAGAGATGCCACTTTCTTCACATTATCAAGTTAACTTTTTATATTATTCTTTAGATTATTTCTCTGTCGTGCTCTTATTTTATCAAGAGAAAGATAATCACTAATAGATGTAAACTATTCTTGGATATAATATGGATTAGAAGTCTAAGTTTGGTAAGGGAAGGGAACTATCAGGAGTGAGTGCCAAGCCATTACAGCTATATAGCACTTGGAAGGGGTCAGGATAAGGACTTGGGATGGGACGGAGGGAAAGGAATGGTGCCCAACCACTTGGACGGTTGGGGATTGAACGCGGACTTGCATGAAGCGAGACCGTTGCTCTACCGTCCAGCCCAAGTGGTTGGGCAAATGAATATAAACAAAAGTGAGATAAGCGTAGTCATCCATTAATTACCTCAGAAAATAGTAACGGTCGTGTTCATAGAATTAAATGTGCCTTCTAAATTTAACAGTAATACGAAGTGACAAGAACTAGTGTCTAAGTACTCAATAAACAAATAAGTCTTACCTTATATTTTGTACAAAAATCTCACATTGAACAAAAATTTCGCATAAATTACACGATATATGTTTTACTGTGTAATTGATAGTCTAGACATTCACCTCATGGAGCTCATCTGAGAAATACGTCAAATATACAGATAAAAATCTATCCATATATAACGCATGTTCTAACATTATCGTTCATCTTTAATTTGAAAACTGTAAGTACATGATATGAAAACTGCCTCGTGTTTACTGACCTTAAATCAAACACTAAATCAAGAGTTCAAGTTCAAGTATGTTTATTGAGACAAGAAAGAAATACATCTCAAAGGGATAGAGTAGCTTAGGCTATATCTACCCACCAAAATCAAGAGAATTGTTTCTTACAAATCCAGAAAGGTGTAATATAAGGGAACATAGAGCCCCTAACACAAAGTATATCCTGCCTTACTGACCTGCTCACATTTTTTAGAGACAGTAACCAACTATTCCGATAAAGTACTTTCAGTATTATATATGGACTTCTCTAAAGCTGTTGATAAGATACCACATGAAAGACTGGCAAGAACATTATAAGCACATGGATTAACTGGTAAAGCACAAGCATGGATTAACTGGTAAAGCACAAGCATGGATTAACTGGTAAAGCACAAGCATGGATTAACTGGTAAAGCACTAGCATGGATTAACTGGTAAAGCACTAGCATGGATTAACTGGTAAAGCACAAGCATGGATTAACTGGTAAAGCACTAGCATGGATTAACTGGTAAAGCACAAGCATGGATTAACTGGTAAAGCACTAGCATGGATTAACTGGTAAAGCACAAGCATGGATTAAATAATTGTCAAAACAAAGAAAACAAAGGATCGTCTTAAATGGAAATTAATCTAACTGAAGAAATGTGGCAAGTGAGGATACCGCAAGGTGCCATCTTAGGACCAACTTTTTTTTTCCTCTATACATCAATATTATAGATGAGAATATTATATACCACATTATCAAATTTGCAGACACTAAGATCTATGGTAAAATGGAGACCTATATGAGCTCCACAAATGGTCGAGTGGAAAATGCATTTTTAACATTGAAAATACAAGACTGTTTAACACAACAATGCACGTCACAACTATCAAATCATCAACACTATCATGCAGCAGATTGAAGAAGAAAAGGACCTTGGAGTCAGAATCCACCAGTCACTGAAAGTTGCACAATAGCGGGAGCTGCAGTAAAGAAAAACAAATGTTCAAGGAATAGTCAAACGAACCTTTGATTTCAAGGAAAAGACAGTGGACATTCAACTGTACAACAGTAAGGTGCGTCCTTATATGGACTGCTGTATCCAAGCATACTGGATTCAGATCCAATGCTGAACTTTTCAGTGCTTGCTTGGTGGAAGCGTTAGAGTAGGGGTGACCACACCTATTGAATACCAGTAAATTTTTCCAGCAAGAGCTTTTCCTTCAGGCTGTTGACCAGACCACACACTAGAAGGTGAAGGGACGACGACGTTTCGGTCCGTTCTGAACCATTCTCAAGTCGATTTTCCTTCAGGGGCTTGCATTAGCTTTTTCAATTGAATAATCAGTCATTTTTTCTAAACAGGTATGAATCTCAAGAGTCTCCAGGACCCCAGTCATTTATAACACCAGATTGTGCCCACCAGCGTGTGTCCAACACATATGTGGCTCCAGGCTGTTGTTTACCATATTTCTTCACAAACAATCCCCCTCCATGTGTGCACACATTAAAAAATGTATTGAGATTTTGCAGTCAAAGAATTGGCATACATGAGGCACACTATCAACAACAGATTACACGGACGGATTTAAGGAGTGTACAGCATGGTACACAGTCTGCTAAAGTATTCTCGTTGTATATCATTGTTTGGAC